AAGAAGAAGAAGAAGAATAGAATAGGTCTAGTAACAAGTTTAATCCAGTATTTAGGTAACTTTCTGGTATAAAGAGATATTAAATTACTACAGAAGTTTTCTATGCCTGATGATTTGAGTGATAAGGGGAACATTGAGGAAGCGTTGAGTGAAGTGATCTTTGAAAATGTTGGGTGAAATTGTGAAGGAAACTTTGAGTGATGTGGTAAGGGAAACACTGAGTGATGTGGTAAGGGAAACATTTAGTGATGTGGTAAGGGAAACATTTAGTGATGTGATAAGAGAAACATTTAGTGAAATGGTAAGGGAAACATTTAGTGAAATGGTAAGGGAAACACTGAGTGATGTGGTAAGAGAAATATTGAGTGGTGTGGTAAGAGAGACATTGAGTGATGTGGTAAGAGAGACATTGAGTGGTGTGGTAAGAGAGACATTGAGTGGTGTGGTAAGAGAGACATTGAGTGATGTGGTAAGAGGAACATTGAGTGATGTGGTAAGAGAGACATTGAGTGGTGTAGTAAGAGGAACATTGAGTGATGTGGTAAGAGAGACATTGAGTGGTGTAGTAAGAGGAACATTGAGTGATGTGGTTAGAGAGACATTGAGTGGTGTAGTAAGGGAAACATTTAATTAAATGGTAAGGTAAACGTTTAGTGATGTGGTAGGAGAAACATTGAGTGAAGTGATAAGGGAAACATTGATGAAGTGGTAAGGGTGACATTTAGTGAAATGGTAAGGGAGACATTTAAATCAAACTCCAGACCTCTAGGTTGATAGGTGAACACCATTTCTTGCTTTTGATGGGAAAAAAATGCTCATCTTTCTCGAACACAAGTTGACATATTTTGGATTGAAGGAGGTTGGGATTCCTTAGTGTCAGAGGTAAACTAAGTGAGAAAATGGCTTTCAAAATTTAAGCAACTTCCAAAGCTTTAGAGTCCTTGGAAAGTGCAAATTTACATTTTTTGTCCTTTTGAACAATGTTTTTCACTAAAATCCACATGGAAATGTGTTTTTAAATGGTTGTAATAGGTAGTGAGCCAGACAAACATTCAATATAAATCTAGCAATGGGTAGAAAAAAAGTAAGTTTCTTCAATGGCCTCATTTCCCTTTTTTTTTTTCAGCCAGGAAACATCAACCTGGGCGGGCAGGAGGAGGCTGGAACGATGATGAAGAGGACGAAAAGGATGACAATAATCCTGATGATAATGAATGTGAGCGTAACAGCGACACACGGTTGAGCATCGACACTGACAGTCTGGCTGATCCTGCTGACAAGTAAGTCATTAAGTCACAGAGACATCCAGTAAGTCTTTGAGACAGCTAGTAAGTCATTGGTGCAGACAGTAAGTCACTGAGACAGCTAGTAAGTCACTGAGACATCCAGTAAGTCTTTGAGACAGCTAGTAAGTCATTGATGCAGACAGTAAGTCACTGAGACAGCTAGTAAGTCATTGATGCTGACAGTAGTCATTGATGCAGACTGTAAGTCATTGAGACAGGTAGTAAGTCATTGATGCACACAGTAAATCATTGATACAGACAGTAAGTCATTGAGGCAGCTAGTAAGTCATTGATGCAGATAGTAAGCCATTGAGACAGCTAGTAAGTCATTGATGCAGACAGTAGTCACTGAGACTGCTAGTAAATCATTGATGCAGACAGTAAGTCACTGAGACAGCTAGTAAGTCATTGATGCAGAGAGTAAGTCATTGAGACAGCTAGTAAGTCATTGATGCAGACAGTAAGTCATTAATGCAGACAGTAAGTCATTGATGCAGACAGTAAATCATTGAGATAGCTAGTACAGTAATAAGACCATGAGTACCACAAGCATGAGGAGGGGGGGGGGGAGAGAACATTTGATCTATTGGTTGTTGGTGGCTGTGAAGTGTTGTTTGTGATTTGACTAATGTGCTGAAGACCCAAGTGTGGGTGTGTGTGCTTGCAGTTGGAGGGGGATTATGATTTATCATTGAACAGTAAACGTTGGGGTGGGGGTTATGATTTATAATTGAACACTAAATGTCTTCTAGGATCATTGGCTGATTTCTATTGATTTCGTTGTCATACATATTATTGATTTCATGACAATTTTTCACCACGCAAAAAAACTCTTCTGATTTAAATGAAAAGAGAAGATGCGAAAATTAATCCACAGTACTGTGATACTATTTATAATGCTTTATGTGACTCATGATCTTTATTGAGGACCTGCAGACTGACTCCAGCTGTGGTTTCAGAACTAAAGATAAGTTGATCTTCTTCCACTTCCACTATTATTAGAGCGTGGGTAGTTGGCGGGTACTCTGGTGCGGTTAGCTCCTTCTTTCCTGTGAAAGATCCTTATCTCTCCTCCTACTTTTCTTTTGTATGTTACTCTCTATCAGCACTACTAGTCTTTGGCAATTATATGACCTATTTGCTGAAAGTGATGTAAAATTTGATGTCAAAATCTTTTCATTTCACATGTCAAACTTTTTCGAATGCAATTCTTTGAATATCTTGATAATGACCCCAAATATTCTTACGATTTTGACAGAGCACATAGAGCATTTGCTTTCTGACCTCATGGTCTTATTACATTAACTCAAATAGGTGGTTGGCAGGTGATCTGGTGTGGTTTGCTTCTTCTTTCCCATCAAACATCTATCGTCTTTATCTCCCCTCCTCATTTTTTGTGTTTGTTACTCTCTTGTAACGCCTCTAATCTTCGGCACTTATATGACCTTATTGTGTTGCAAGTGCCGACAAAACAGTAACTCAAAACGACCAACAATGTTGGATAGAACTTTGTAATTCTGAGGTAGCCACTTGTTGTTCAGACTGATTCAGGATGGACCCCAGGCGGACTGGGCCCAGGAGAGACAGCTTGTGACAGGAAGCCTGCAGCACGGCTCCACCGGCCCGCGGAGGCAGCTCCTTGCGCCCTCCGACCTCTCCCACTTCCTGGGCTGCTGCGCAAGGCTCAGCGCTGAGAAAGTTGTACAGATGATAGCCCAGAGACTGACGGGAACCGATCCAGGAGTGGTCATCGTGAGTTGTATTTTGACTTACCTATGTTACTAGCACTGTTGCTTATCTTTTCTTTCATGGTGGGCTGTTCCACCATGGTAACTGACGGGACGTTTGGACTATACTTTCTTACACTGATAACACTGTAATTCAATATCAATTGATTTATTTTCAACTTTAAATACCTCATTTGTCCTATTAGTTACCGAAACTAAACAAGTCATAGAATTTGCTTAAAGTTCTTTTTTTAAAAATGGCTGCATTTAATATGATTCTAAGATGTCTTTCATATATTCTGATCTTTTAAAGTGAGATAGTGGGTGGTTGGCGGTGCTGTGGTGTGGTTTGCTTCTTCTTTCCTATCAAACATCTATCATCTTTATCTCCCCTTCTTCTTTTTTGTGTTTGTTACTCTCTTGTAACACCTCTAATCTTCGGCACGTATGTATGTATGTATGTATAGTATGTATAGTATAAGGTTTTACGGCGTTCGTATATGACCTTACTGTGTTGCAAGTGCCGTAAAACACTTACTAAAACTAAAACTAAAAGTTGAGATAAATTTATTGCTACTGAATTACAGTGTTTTCATTGTAAGAAAGTATAGTCCAAACTTCCCGTCAGCTACTGTGGAACAACCCTGGTGGAGGAGGCAAGATGCTGTTATGAGAAACTGTGCTCGTCACGCCTTGTGAAGCGCGAGGGCTGTAATGATGAGCTCTATGCGTCTTATTTTGTATTGGCAGTACTGTTTCTATAAGACGTCTCTTTCTCATGCCTCAAACAAAAAAAATCTGAATCACCAAACAAAAAAAAAAGGGTTCAATTGAAAAACAATTCTTCATTCCTATTGCTAGATTGTAGTCTAGACTATGAATGATCTAGCATGTTGCCAACTACACCATCGGTGCTCCTCCTTGTTAGATAGGTATAGCACACATCTCAAAGTAGTCTTGTAAGTTATTGATAGCTCAGATATTAACCCTATCCGTACGCTTTGTGGTCATTTTGTACCCCCGGGGTTGTATTCTTCACATCTTAGAATACCTCTAGTGCGAAGATCTCTTTAAAACTTTCAGTATTTATCAAAAAATCATTTTGACAGACTGCTATGTAAAAGGGTACGGATCAAATTAAACGAGTACATTTCCTCTTTGGAAAGTGGTGGCACAGAGTTCCCCATATCGTATGGATACGATAGTAAAACACGACGTACGGATAGGGTTAACATGTTCTCATTAGTTATTAACAGTACAGATTTATACGTACAGTTGACTTTTTAAAATGTGAAACCGTTTAACACAAAATTTCTTTTTGACATGAAAAGATTTCAAATCCCTGTTTAGAAAAAATCCACACTCTTTATTCTGTGCATTACATCTTCTAATAACACAATTAAAAATTTTAGTACATCTGGTTACCAGAAAGGAATTTTCATCCGTTTCATCACTTCTCTCAGTGGACTGACTCTCCCACCCTTCTTCTGTCTTCTAAAAGAAAAAAAAAATTTGAATATGGTGGTCTACCGTTGCCAATACGCATAACATAACATGCCTTCCATATGCTTAATCCCCCCCCTGAATTTGCTGTCCCACTCCTCATGCACAGCAGATGGTGAGAGAGGCGGTTTGTTCTTGTGTTTGTTCTTAACACTTTGCGGTCACTTGCCGCAGTAATGTGATCGGGAAAATGATCCGTTCTGGTCACTTGACTCAGTTCTGCAACAGATCCGAGAGGTCTGTTGCAGTCACTCTCCTAGCTAGATGACCAGATGGGGTATTTTGTACTGTTGGCTGTGTCACTGCAAAGTGTTAAACTGAGTAGTAATGTGGAAAACCGTCAAGTAAACAGCTGCAACTTCTCCTGAACCTCATTCTGTGTGGTCAAGGCATTTGTCTGGGGTTCAAAATAAGGTTTCTCTTTTTTTTCAGTTTCCTATGATCAGCAGTTTTGCACATGTTATTAATGACTGAAATAGGCTAAGCATCTTATCATGACCAAAAAGTGATTCCATAGTGCTGTAAAATACCTACTTAAAACAGCAAAAAATCTGATCTTTTTAAGATACTGGCCTGTTCCTGTTCAAAACGTGTTCAAATATTGGCCTATAGCCACTTGTCAGACATGCTTTGTTGATGGTTCCCTATGCCCCTTGTCAGACAGTAGGAGGCTGGTGGGTGCTCTAGTGGGGTTTGCTCCTTCTTATACCTATCAAACGTCTGTCAAAATGATATCTCCTCCTATTATTTGTGTTTTACAATCTAGTAACATCTTTAATCTTCAGCACTTATATTTAAAACTCTTTCGAGAACTAAAATTAAAACTTGTCAGACTTGTTTTGTTGACAGGCCCCATTTTCACTTTTGAGACTTCTTTGTTCTTGCAGTAGACCCCATTTCCTCTGTCTCCTCAGAGAGCTCTTCAGCTTTTGGAAGCCATTCTGTACAGCCGGGAGGAGCTGGTGCACGTGGATCTCCTCACCTCTGTCTGCAAGCAAGATCTGGTGGACTGTTACAGGAGCTGCGGCCCAACGTCGGCGCCCCCTGGTGGCGAGACGGCGAGCAAGGCGGAGACGATGACCGCTCCTCTTGGCGACGATGAGGAGAAGCATTTGTGGCAGTCTGTGAGAATGAAAGTCACAAAGGTGATCCTCATACTTCAGCAATTGTCCTCTCATCGCGAGATCCTGGCTCTTTCAGAACTTGCTGACTTCTTGCCAAAGAGGGAAAATATTCCAGAGACTCCAGCGTGAGCTGCAAGCCGAGCTTTGCTATGTTAAAAAACTTTTTTCCGCGCTCAATCAAAAGTATCATCTGCCTGGTTTTGAGGAGTATTTTTGTGATAAGCTTCTTAACCCCTTGCTTGTGTAGTGGATGTATCTGGTACGCCCATATGCTTCACTGCCCTATGAGCTGTGGGCACACCCAATGGGCCCTTGAAGGACCTATCTTTTGTCTGGTTCTTATCCTTGTCTTGTGTGTCCACTTGCTGATGCCATCATATCTATTTTTAAGCTGCTACGCATGGGAATTGCGTGTAGTAATCAGTAGAACAAAGTGAGGTGTGTTGTTTTACAGTATACCTATCTCTGCTCTCTACGCCACTCTAAACTTCACTGCTAAGCAAGGTAGACCAAGGTAGCGATATATCATTATAATGATCTATATCATTAGATGTAGTGTCAACATCACCACTACTAACGTCCATGTGATTACCTCTGCCAACGGGTCCTGGCTCAGAACCAGTGTACTAATACTAGGTCCAGAGGTAGGCCTACACTGTTGCCTATACTCATCCCCAGGGTCCTTGTCTCTCGTATTTTCAGCTTGTCTGCCAATATCTTGAACATTGAAATCCTCATCGGATTCACTGTCTCTTGGTGGCATCGGTAGCCTAATGGTTAGGCTACGGGACTCATAATTGTGACATTGTGGGTTCGGGGGCTTGAGCCTCACCGATTTTGTGTCCTTGGAAAAGGCGCTTTACACAAATTTCCTTTTTGGCTCGGTCCTTTCAGAGATGGACGTTAAATTCGGAGGTCCCGCCTCTTAAATAACCTAAAAATAGTGTGGATAGGGGCATTAAATCTCTACCATTTCACCATTTTTTTTCAGTCACTTGCACTATTGAAAGTTTTAAAAAATGTTCCAACATGCACGTTTACTAGGACTAACCATCTCAGACTGACTACTTGTGACTGAATGACTTGTTTTGGTCACGCTATTTACACATGGAAAACAAGAGCTCTCTAGGCCAGCCCTATGTAATTTCCTACTCAAGAAGAGTTACAAAGGTACAGGAAGCACTTCATGGCAAATATTCTTTTCTTTCTCCCTTTAAACACAGCTATATAAGACAGTAAGAGCATTTCATAGAAAGACAGAGAATAAAATGGTTTGGCCACCTGTTATGTACGTCACCTAGCTAGCCAGTGTCGAGACAGTGTATTATAACATAATACCAAGCACTCAGGCTATAATAACGGAGAGGAAGGCCACGCAAAAGGTTTATTGAGGGAGTCAAGGAAACCCTAAGAAATCATAATATCCCAATTGAAAGAGTTGTGGAGCTGGCTTACCATAGAAAACAGCATCTACCCTCGACGCTTAATGGCAACAGAGGATGAAAAAGTAAAAAATGAGTAAGTATGACACATTCCTGTAAGTCCCGCTTATATCAGCACTCCCAGACGGACTGCAAAGAAAGTGGCGATTGAATTGACACATGACAGTAATAGGGTTTCAGCTCTGTATGGATGGCTGTGAAAAGAATATATGTCAATATAATAACATATTGGTTTGTCAGAAATTTATCGTGCATGCATAAATTTGCTATGATGCTTTGTCTGTGTAATGTACATTTGTCAGAATTTAATTGCTCTACTTTTTCTCAGATATTTGTAATTGCAGTGTACGTTTGTCAAAAATTTGTCAATTGTAATGTAACGTCACCACAAGTTAATCAATGCCATATTTGTCAAAAATTTGTCAATTGTAATGTAACGTCACCACAAGTTACTCAATGCCATATTTGTCGAAAAATGTCAAAGTAATGCATGTTTGCGATAAGTTTGCCAACGTTTTGCATATTTGTGAAAAGTTTTTCTCCATCCTCTGTCATATTTGTATAAACTTTGTTAATTTTTGTAAATCTGTTTAAAGTTTTTCAGTGTAATGCGAGATTTGTGGGAGGTTTGGCAATAAGGTCTAGGACGCATATAGCAAAATTGGGGGGATGCTAAATCCGTTAAAGTCTTCTTGTTATGTACTAATTTCGCCACTTAAGTGTTTTAAACACAAAGAATATACATAATACATGTATGGGACAAAAATAGTGGTACCTGAAAACCTGTTTGTTATGTGGGTGTTTTGCTATGTGCGTGTTCGCTGCGTGCATGCTAGACTGTACATTTGATTTTTTTTTTGGGGCTGATAATTATCAATGTTTTTGATACATTCTGGAGTTTTTCAGCATGTAGTGTATTTAGCAAAAAAGTTTACTAATGCTCTGCAGTCACACAGCCAGCAGTGCTGTAAAACTGTTGCAAGAACTAAAGAAAAAACCAAACTCTAGTCATAAGTCTGAGTCAGTTCTTTGTGAGCTGTATTGTTAAGTTATGTGAATGATCATGGTTTTTAAAGGTTTTTTTTCGTTTTAAGAATGGCAGGAGTACTGGTGTGTAGTAGTAGTAGTAGTAGTAGTAGTAGGATTGCAATCAATCACCCAAGCCCACAGTGGGTGAGGGGTTAGCTCAGATAGTTTCACACTGAAGGGGATTGGGGGTTGGGGGGTGGGGTGGGGGGGGGGAGGAGAATTGTTGTGGGAGAATGTTGTGAAAGTAGAAGTTTAGAGAAAGAATTGGTGAGGAATGCATGTGTTGAAGTTTGTGAAGGAAAAATTTGCTTTTGGGAAGGATGTGCCTATGTGGGAATGCCGCTTCTTCTCTTTAAAAATGGAGTGGGAGCTTTGTGAGGAAAGAGGCACAATGTGCAATGATCAATACAGTCTGTGATATATTACTTTTGAAAATGTTTGGGTAGAATGGTTCCTGTGAAGCTTCATGTCTGTGTTCTTTTTATTTACGGTTTGGGGTAAAAGTCTGTGAAAGTGGGTGGTTGGTGGATGCTCTGGTGTGGTTGGCTCCTTCTTTCCTATCAAACACCTATCATCCTGATCTCTCCTCCTTATTTTTTATGTTTGTTACTCTCTTGTAATATCTGTAACCTTCGGCACTTCTATGACCTTAGAGTGTTGCAAGTGCCATAAAACTTTTACTAAAACTAAAAGTCTGAGAAAGATATGGAGTTCTGGTCATTATGTGTCACCTATAATTGTGTATACAAGGTTTAGTGAAAGTGTGGCTGGTGCTGTAATAATTGTATCACAACGTGGTGGAATCAGGTGCTCGTCAATTTTGGGGCATTTTGGTGTTGTTAATCATTTAAACACTTTCCCTACCACGAGCCGCATTTTGCAGCTCGCGGACCTGGCCTCGCTGTACCGAGAGCCGCAAAATACGCCTCGAGTGGCTCACTATCTTTTCCAATCCAGTAATGAAAAGACATGAAATTCTCGGCCGATCCACGTTTTCAAAATGATAGAATAGACTTCCTATCGGCAGATACGAAAGAAGATATAGCACTGAGAGACGATTTTTAGTCATTTCAGCGCTTTTTTTTGTTTCCTTTGAAATGTAAATAAGTGGAAAAAAGCGCTACCCTGACTTCAGTATATGTCTCATATTTTCACTTCTACATTAGGTACACATACATAACTTTCAGCATTTATTTGCATTACTTGAGGCAACGTACTTGGGAAGTTTGAATGATGCTGCTGTCGTACTTTTTTAGATATGACCTTTCAAAGCTGGAAAATAGTTGATTTCATATGACACCTTCTATATTGCATAATCACTTTTAGAAACCCCAAAGTAATAAAATTGGAATAAATCTTCAATATTGTATCGCCATCTGATAGATTGATATTTAACCTTCAGTTTGATGGGCCTTATGATATGGTCTGTGTGTGTTTAGTTGGATGTTTTGACATTTTCCTTAGGCGGGGTAGGGGCGTAAAAATAGGTCAGGGAAGAGCCCTGGGCCAGTGGTGGATTTTGGCCTGGTAGGAAAAGAGTTAAAGATTGTTTTATTTGTCTTATTTTTGGTGAAAGATATACCCATCTGTCTTGAATAGAAGTTGAGATATTCGCGATTGAAGGAGATGGTGGTCTTCTGGTTTTGGAAGTGAAATAAGCGAGAAAATGGCCGCCAAAATTTGGTGACTTTCAAAGCTTGACAGTCCTTGAAAAGTGAAAATTTAGTTTTTTTGTGCCTTTAATCAAAGTTTTTCAGTAAAATCCACACCGAAATGTATTTTTTAATGGACTTTAAAAGGGTTGAGCCAAAAAACCCAAAATTTGATAGAAATTGCCAATCTGATGGAAACATGTCCGTTTCTGCGTTTTCATTATTTTGACGTGTACCCGATTCCACCATGATGCCTTATAATTATGTTTTTACATGTTTGCATAATTTAGAATGAAGGTGATTGATGCTGTTATTACGTGTTCATAAATTGAACGTGTCTGCATAGCAAGTTTAATGAGCCTGTTTATTATGAGTGTGTAAGGTAAGTTTGTCTGCATAGTTGAGTGAGTCTGTTTATTATGAGTGTGTAAGTGTGTCTGTATAGTTTAGTGAGCCTGTTTATTATGAGTGTGTAAGTGTGTCTGCATAGTTTAGTGAGCCTGTTTATTATGAGTGTGCAAGTGTGTCTGCATAGTTGTGTGAGCCTGTTTATTATGAGTGTGCAAGTGTGTCTGCATAGTTGAGTGGGCCTGTTTATGATGAGTGTGTAAGTGTGTCTGCATAGTTAATTGAGCCTGTTTATTATGAGTGTGTAAGTGTGTCTGCATAGATGAGTGAGCTAACTATAACCACATTGTGTAAGTGCCAAATTTAGTGAGAATGTGACTAAAAAGCTGCCTTTTTGTGTTTATAACTGTGTGTACATCGTTTATCAAGAATGTGATTGATGCTCTCATTATGGGTTTATAAGTGTGTGCATAGCTTTTGGAGAATGCGAGACTAGTTGGTAATTTAAATAAATTATAATGATAAAGATCTGTCGCACCTACTTCCCGGTTGCTCTAGGAGCTTTCCTATAAAAAAAGATTTAAATCTACATTTCATGCATATTGACCCACTCAACGTACAACAATTCTTTCAAATACAGTCACCCCCCCGGCGTGGTGCCACTGACTGAAGTGTCTTTAGGCCATTCCCAAAGGGGAGACATTTCTTGTTCATGCACAGTAGAATTGTAAATGGGCTGATTCATCAATGTCACGCTCATAACTGTGCCTGATCTACAACAGGGAACTGCTGCTTTTTCTTTCCTAATCCTTACTATTGTCATTTTTCCTCTACTTCTTTTGTATGTTCGTCACTCTCTTGTGACCCACTATTTCCAGGGTGCCGTGATAGTCGAAGCAGACTTTGTGCTGTTGAAGCTAGAGAGGTGAGCAGAGTAAGTCTGATTCCCTATAAGGATTTCTCTGTTGACGTCCACCCCTTGACGCTCATATGACCTTATGCAGTTGCGAGCGCCATAAAACCTCCACTAAAACTAAAACAAAAACTCAAATACAGTCAAACCTCGTTTTACCGCCACCCTTGGAACAAGTGTGGAGTTGGTGGAACAGCGGGGCTGGTGGTTCAACTAGGTTCCTCTGTTGTATAGCCCCGACTGCCCAACGTCAAGGAACATGAAGACTCCCCTGGGCAGTGCCACTGACTGAAGTTGTCTTTAGGCCATTCCCAATGGGGGGGTATTAACATGTTCGTATGCACAGTAGAATTGTAAATGGGCCGACTTATCAATGTCATGCTCACACTGTGCCGAAACAACATAGGGGGAACTGCTGCTTTTTCTTTCCTCATCATCACTATCGTCATTT